AGCGAGTCCTTCTGAGAGCAGGCGTAGCGGAACTGACGTGCGCATTCTCGGCGCCCCCAGCGCCCCTGGCGCCTCCGCGCATTCTCCTCGTTCGTTGGTGCTCGCCTTGATTCTTCGCTCGGCGGCTGTTCTCAAAGCGGCTGGGACTAGTACCACGCGGGCAGAGCAGACAGAGAGAGAGAGGAGGAGTTTGGAAAGGAAGAGATAGTCCTGTAGACTCACTCGAATGGGAGTCGTGCTAACTATCTTTGGGGGGAGGGGGAATGGGAGTGAAAGATGAGCAGAAAGAAATGAGATTAGATAGAGGTCGGGAAGCGGTCTTCCGGATGCGAGAGGGGGGGGAGGGGGGGCCGAGGACACAGAATTCACGGGCACACGCGGGCGGGCACGCGGATGGGGCTCCGGCGCGGGGTGCGCGGCGGAGGCACGCGGTCACTGCAGAGTCGGGGCAGAGACATCCGAGTCATTCTCAGGCTCGGCGGACGTCAGGGAGGGCGGCGGAGGTACGCGATCATTCCGGGAGTGGGAAGAGTCAGCCGAGTCGCTCACAGGCACAGCGCATGTCAAGGGGGTGCGGCGGAGGCACATGATCACTCCAGGAGCCCGCGTGGTACTAACAATAACAAACGCCACCCGACTTAGCGCCTGGCTTGGCTTGGCTCAGTCTGTCTTTTGAGGCGAATGAGAATGCGCACGTCACGAAGCGAGTTTTCCACGACGCTCACCAGGGGTCGCGTAAAATTGTATTTTTCGTGTTTATTCAATTTTATACGCCTCCTCGCTCAAAACAACACCATTTAGAAGTAAAGGACATGCTATGTATGCCATTGCGACCAAGAATTTCCACCCAAAATTTCGGTTCAGCATCCCTTTAACAAAATTAAACATAAAAAAAAAGCCGCCTGGTAGCATTGTTTTCTCGGTTACCAAGCGGCGTCGGCAATGAGCAGTAGATCGACGGAAACCTTTCTTAAAGACCGCATTCATGTCTAGGGACACAAATGGACTGCTGATACTGCTAGATGACAGGTTAAATGGGAGTAAGCACGAATGACATTTGAGAAATCTTGAAATCAGCTCGCGATCCCAGTTTGGGGTGTCATGCTTGGCAGCGGCAGGCACTGGTTTGTCTATTATAAACTGTCATTCGGCACAATATTGCCGCGCTGAGGGCCGAGCAAACAACACTCTGTCACATAGTTCTAAAAGATTCCCGTGTACTCTACTCGAGGCGTAACTTTTACCGTTTCATCTTTGTTTCTCGTTCTAGAAAGTGCCTGTTCATTCTCGCCCTCAGCCCGCGACGCTCGAAGCGGCCCACAACCTTGTTGAATCAGTCTTACTTGGCATGTGAGTGGTACGAGGATAAGTACCCTGCACCTCCACCAGAAATGCCACGAATGAAGGTGACGAGAGGACTAACAGAAACGTTCTCAGGGCAAAGAATGCTCTGCCGGGGTGCATCTACTGCTCAACTTTCTCTACAAGTGCGCTCGTTGCCGCGGACGTCATTGCTCAGAATTGAGCGATTGCTTCCAACTTTTCAAACACTCGGCGACCGTGCAAACTACACATCTCTACAAGTGCGCATTGCGCAGTTGCCGAGCGTTTGGAAAATTTCAAGCAATCACTCGATTCTCGGCAATGACGTCCGTGGCAACAAGCGCGCTTGGAGAGGAAGTTCGGCCATTCATTCATTGTGACAATATCATTTGGAATTCCCATGTGAATGAGCTAATAGATGAGGCAAGAATTAAATACCCGGGCATTAACAACCTTGCAAAAGGCTTGCACATCATCTATCAATTTTCCTAGCTGCCAGATGGTGACACATGATTGAATGCTGTTTGACAATGACAAACTCTAAGGTTTTTGTTTCGTGCATGCTATGGCATTGTAACAGACACGTTGAAACGGTTACCGATGTAGTATGCCTGTCGTGAGCTTGTCGATGAAAAGAGGAGCTCCGTGACTTGTCGCACCACCCCTTGCAGAACACAATGCATGTATTCCACGCTCATGCCAGCAACCAAGTCGAAACCTGAGCAAAAACGATGTCAGGTAGGTTTTGACATGACACATTCCACACACACAAATTACCTTCAAGGTTCATGAGAGGTGATGGACCCTTGATACCATTTACAGGGCTCCCCAGCCTCTGGGCGAGCTCCATGTCTCGAACAACAAGCTCCGATGTCCTCGGAATTGGGGCTTCATCGGCGACATAGCGCACGCATCCTGCAAAAAGAAAGCAAAGTATTTAACTGATCAACCATTGCGACCTGATCAATGATATCTTCCTTGATTAGCAGGCAAAAGTGTATATCTGCAAAAGAATGAAAATTATATGTACCTTCCTCGTGCTCGCCTTTCATCAAGCAATATGGGCAGCCGAAGAACCCATTGAAAGAGACCATGTTTTGCACGGCAGCACGGGCAGGGGTATCAACGCTGCAGCACAGTACAAAGGCTTTTGAAGTGAGCTGCTGATCTCCATGGATCCATGTCACAGGGGCCATAGTGTTGACTTCCTCCACAAACTTGGTCAGAAAAACCGACATGTCTGGATGGCGCTTCCCAAACCAGAGTCCAGCCAATGTAGGGTGGTGCAAGCGCACTGCAGGGGGTAGTTCATTTACTGTAAATTGAATCGGCCACACTGACGTCTTCGAGGATTTGAAGATGGGGCTCCCATCAGTGTTGAACGTGATTGTTAGGTCACTCGGACCTAAGGCAAGCTCTTGGCGCAAGTGCTTGCAAGCTTCGGCTGTTGTAATGTCCGTAATCAAATCAGAGTCATTGAGTGCTAGCATTGACAGCGAATGATGAAGCTCGACACTTGTTTTTCCAATTAGGTGCTTGAGCTGCTTGTGGAGGTCGAGCATCAAGAAATATGACCCACCATGTCTTAGCTTCTCAGTGGACTCCTCAAAATTGCACACATCGCATCGTGCAATCGAATCGCTTGAGTTGAGGACCGTGTCACAGCAAGGGCACAGATAATGGTACTTCACCAAGTTTTCCTTTTTTTTCGTCCACAGCTTCCTCAGCTTGTAGATACTTGTCGGCAGAACTGCGCTGCCAAACAAGGCATTCACAAGTGTCAATAGCTTGCCGAGCCCGGCCCACGTCGATCTCTCCGAAACGGCATACGATATAACCATCGCGATGGCGCCAGCTTTCGACGTTGGTGAATGCGGCAGCATACTAGCACCAAACTCTTCCACGCACAGGGTCAAGAGATCTTCGATGGACCCAGGTCCCATCTCCTCGTCGTCGTCGTCTTCAGAGATCACGGCTTCTTCGAGAGACTTCTCTCTCGACACCTCGCCGTCAGGGTGTTCATCATCAGTGCTGTCCCCTCCGTCATCAGCTTGGTCTTGCGATGCATGCTCAGTGTCGGTGGAGACATCTCCGACGTCGACTCCATGGCAGTCTTGGGCGTCATCTTCGTCAGTATCTACAGGGTCATCACGGTAGGCTCCGTGGCAGTCTTCGGCGTCATCTTCGTCAGTACCTACAGGGTCATCACGGTAGGCTCCGTGGCAGTCTTGGATGTCGTCTTCGTCAGTACCTAGAGGGTCACTACGGTAACCTCCGTTCTCTCTACCTTCGTCGCCGTCAAGCGGTTCCGTAACTACAGAGGTGCCAGCGTTAGCCCCCTGACCCACAAGCGTCTTCTGGAAACGTAAGGTTGATACCGGGATGAGGTAAGGCTGGTCTGCGTCTAGGTACCGCTTTCGTCGTTTGCCAGGAGTAGCCATGTCATAAATATTTCGGTCGCCAAACGTAGAATACGAAGGATATCAGTCAAGAAGTCTGCCGGACTTACACACAAGCCCACAAGCACAAGGATTGGCTAGATGTTTGATGACCGCTAAATAAAAAAAAATCCCTCCGCCGCAAAGAACGTCGCGACTCGCGAACACCCAATGATTTGAAGTAGTCTTCCGGAGTTCCGGATTTCAGAGAAAAGAGTCAACTACAGTCACCTCCTTCGTTCAAAAAACGCCACCAAAAGATTTCTGTGAGTGCTGACACGTTTAGGAGAAGGGTGACTGGAGGTTACGGTCACGTGCCTTCCCGAAGAGCGCATTGCATTTGTTTTCTTCCTTCGCGACTCGAATGCGTCCCGTTTATTGTTGTCTTGTTCCGCCTTTCTGAAGCACTACGGCCGTCATTAGTAGAAATAAATATTATTTATTGCTATTACTGTCACACTGCTAACAACTTTTTTTCCTCATTGCTTTTTTTTTTATTTTTTTTTTTTATGTGGGTTGTTTGGCTTTTACACCTGACGTCAGATTCGATTCGTAGCCTCGTCGGCATGGCCGTGTGCCGTGTTCCAAAATTTACTCGACCTTACTCCAGGCCCCAGGATAAGTGCTTGGTACCTTGGCGTTCCCAAACTTACCCGCATTCAGCGCTGTACAATCTGTGTTGTCACGTGACACGACCCGCCTAAGTAATGCGGATCCAAGACATTGAACGCAGCCCATGTTGGCGCGTCGTCTGCTACGCCGTGTATGCGCGGAGGCAGCGTTTCTCGAGCTCATTCGATTTAGGGTGCCTACATGTGCCCGCCGCACCGGAAACATGTAGGCACCCTTGTGACCCTGAGTTGCAGCCTCATAGAGGATAAGAGCGCAAAAGAAGAACAGGACAGGACAGAGCCTGTCCTGTCCTGTTCTTCTACTTGTCCGTATCTTTTTGCGTTCTTGCAGCCCAGCAGTTAATTCTGTTGCAGCCTTCCTGGCTTCGATCTGCCAGCTTTCGGCCAAGGCAGCGGCTACACCCGAATAACACTTAGGCGTTGGGCTCCGTGTAGCAGCGTCCGAGCAACGCCCGAGTCCACGACCGCTCAAACTCCGGCGCTTTACCAAGACAACGCCGCCACACCAAAACGAAAGCCGCAGGCGCAAGGCGCGTTCGAAAAGTACGTAGCGATGGCGGAACGGCGCTGTGTTGTGACGTCGGTGCAGGGACCCCACCCACTCCGTTCGGATAATGCCAATATCTTTTGTGAGTGTGAGTGGCGGTGCGGGCGGGCGTGACTCAGGAGGGGGTGACTGAGAGTTGCTTTCACGTGCCCTTACTGAGAACGATTACATATGTCTTTCGGCACAAACCGAACGCATCACGTTCGCTGGTTCTGCTTCTGTGTCGTGTATCGATCTCTGCTGCTCTGCTTGCTCTTTCTTCAACGTGTTTCGGTGGTTTGTGTTCTTTTTCTAAGATAGGAGGCTGTAGAGTAGATGCACGCATATGTAAAATTTACGGACGGTTGGCAGCTGATATTGCCAACGTCTTTGATCAGAAGCTTCTCGCCCCGAAATGACGAAGACTTCGACGCCACCCGGATATACGAGGCCTACTGGGTGTCGGACTGCGGCGATGAAGAGGATTATTACGATGCTCACGTGCTCCTTCTGGGCGGTAAGTTTTTTTGTTGTTTTTTTTTCCTAGGGAATGGAGGCATCTTTTGGGGTGCGAGCTTGGTCAGATATGCTTGATCCGCACAACTAAGAGACCCGTTTCGTCACTCGGCTAAGCTACGCCTGTCGGGCCGCGACTGCCAAAAAGAGAAAAAAAAAAAAAAGGCTTACCAGAGTTAGAATTTTTATTGTTTTTTTTTTGTCCACTCGTATGACAAGTAAAGTTCTCGCGCTCGGTTCTGCCGCGCTCACGCACAGATCATAGCTTTCCTGGTATTTTGCGACATGTCAACTAAACTGATATTTACAAAATTCGGTTCATATTTATTTTATCTTTTTGGAAAAAAGCGTGTTTAAAAAATCAGATTTATGTTTAATATATGTATATATATTCCGCAGAGTCTGTGGATGACCTCCTGAAGAAAATGCAGACAAAACGGTACCCCATTCCAAGGATTGTCGGTGGAACAGCAAAGCTCGTAGGACCAGTAGGAAAGGCAAGTTTTGCCTTGCTGTGCCACTTTTCCTTGAACCAATTGTAAAGATTCATTATCCGATAGAGATAATCCAACACATCCACTCGAAAAACAGTTCAAGCCTTAAAAAAAAGCAATCGCATTTTTAGAGTGCTGTTTTACGGCGCTCCAACCAAGTGTTCAAGTGCTGCCCGACAAGTACTGCTATGGAGCGTTCAAGTGCCTTCGTTTAGCGATTAACATCATATTTTAGTGTAGTTCAGCCGAAATTAGCACGCTTACATGATCTCTTCCTTTCCTGATAAACTAACCATAGTTATTTCGGATTTTATTTTCGTGCATTGAAAATGATATCAGAAACCCCCAAAAATGACATATTTAGCTCGCTGTGGCGGTGCAGTGGTTAGCAGGCTGAGCAAGCAATGTGTTTTACTTTATGGAAGTCCAGGTTCAATATTGCATATCACAAGTAGATTTTTATTTTCAAAAGGATTTTTTTATTTTTGTCTCCAACTTCTGCGGCCCTGCATCGCAATACAAAGAATAATATACCTCACTACCGCAACATTGCTTGATCTGCACCTAATGGTAAGATAAAGCAGTGGTAAGCCTCTGATAGGTCATATATTGCAATAGAAGTGTGGTTTGTGTTGGAAAGCGTTCTGACCTTGCCCCTAAATTTCCGCTCATCAGAGCTCTCCGACTGCTAGTGCTTGGAATGTTGACAAAATTTGAATCAGCGAAGTTCAGTCTACAGAGGCAGTGGCCTCTGCAATTCGCAGAATGTGACGGCGCACTGCCCCTGTAAAGACTTTGGGTGCCACTTGAACTATCCTGTGGAGAGCCGTTAGACGGCACTCTAGGCACTGCAAAGAAAGGGGTCAAACTTAACAATTTTATTTATGAATAATTACTATTACACTTTTTTTTAATATTTGCTCATAGTAGCTTGTTGTAGTCAGCATTTTTTTTAACAGTAAAAAACAAATGGCACCTTTTTAATGAAATCAGCTCGGTTTATTATTTTTTGAAGTGGATTATCCTGCGGTCTGCCGGCATAATAACTAGGGGGAAAAAAATACCGGCAGCTGCCCCCTATTGGGTCTCGTATAAAACAAATTATGAAGACTATTTGAAGCTGTAGAGTAGCTCACTGATAAGGTGTCTGTCTCGTACGCAGCAGGACCCTGAGTCAATTGTCAATGAGGGATTATATGATGCTTTTTTTTAGGCATTTGACGATATCTGCAGCATTTCTTTTTTACAATTAACACTGAAAAATCTAATGTTGTCGACGAAACTTCGCTGAGTTAAATGGAATGGGACTGCCTTTCCTGGGGTGAATGGAGGACAGCGATACTTGTACTGCCGGTGGACAGGTGGGCCAATAGTGTTAATATTTTTCTAATGAGCAGCTGCAGACTGTGATACATGCGCCGTTCGAGTGATAAACACGCCGTCCGCTCCCCAGTGATACACGCGCCGTCCGAAACTGGCGGCATTTTTTTTTCCCCGGGCTGTTTTTCATTTACCCCCGGGAAGGGTGCAGTGCTATACCATTTAATTCAGCGAAGTTTCATTTGCAACATTACATTTTTCCTGTGTTAATAAAAAGAAAAGAAAAAAAATGCGGTAAATATTGCAAAAGCCCCCCCCCCCACCAAAAAAAAAAAGTTTGAGAAAAAGAAAAAATAAGCCCACACTGCAATTGAACCAGGGTCCCAATATGTGTGAGATAGACACCTTACCAGTAAGCTACTCCACAGCTTCAAATAGCCGTTTTCTCAATTAGTTTTATATGAGACCCAATAGGGGACAACTGCCGGCATTCTTTTCCCAGGTTATTGTGTCCCCTGCCGGCAGAATATCCACTTCCTTTTTTTTTAGCGATTACAAACCTTACTTCCTTACTGAGCGAGCCTTGATATTTTGTCTGGGGCTGTTAGCGGTTGAGTTGTATAAATTTTAGATTCCTTCTCTTTGCATTCAGAAAGTCCAAGACCTCGGTCACAAGGAGAAGAGAAAACAAAAGGAAATCGGAAAGAAAACAAGGCTGCATGACATTGCCGCTGATTTCAGGAAAAAGCAGAAGGTATGAAATTGCGCCAATATAAGTTGGAAGTGTCTAGAGTTCCTTCCAGATGGAACAATAGTCGCCACTGAAGTTCTGTCTGCACTGAAGGAATGATAGCAAACAGTGTAGAGTTCCGTCGAAGCGGAACTATAAACTGAGCAACGGGGGTACTGCTGCCGCAAAGCGGCGTGTAAGGTGGGTCAGGGGAGTTACATTTTTGTAATGAGCCGCCACATACTGTTGCTGCGAAGCAGCGTAAAGAGGTGGACCGGTTAGGTTGACACGCACGTTTCATCGACACTGAATAAAAAGCCCTACGAAGATCACTTCGGAGACTGGACATTGGCAGTTTAGACGGAACTCTAGCGGTGACTATCGTTTTGTCTGGACGGAATTCTAGCCACAGCCATACAGGTTTCATTATTTAGGCAGTTGATTAAAGTCAGCAAACACACACGTTTTTGCCCAGATCAAGCAGACGGAGACACCCAGCCGCTACCAGAGTGACATGGTACCCATCACTGTCCTCAGGGAAAAAGAGGAAGTTATAAAAGAACTAAAAAAAGAACTGGCCAAAGAAAGGAGCCACAGTCGGCAGCTGGCTCAGGCCCTGGCCACAAAAATTGGTGTGTATGTTTCCCCCTCTCATAGTTAACGAAAACTTTGAAAGGAATATAGTTTTTACTGCTTGCCTTCTGGTTCAATTCAAACTTCATTTTTCAGTAGTTGCCGCAGGAGAGAGTAGAGACACAGCCACTACCTCCGATGAGGGGCTTCCCTTTTATGAGTCACCATTCCTTGAGTGGGGTGAGTTGCTTGGTAATGTTGATAGGCCACTCCATTTTTTCTTACATCCATCTGTGCATCTCCTTCTATTTAGAGAATGCACCCTATCCAATGAAGGATGTTCACTGCGGCCCAGTTTCAGTGCCTCCAACTTCTGGCACAGGCAAGTTTTAACTGCTTTTCTTTATTTTGTTTTTGTTTACCTTGTTCATTGCTAGCCATGGATGGCTCTGAGGAGTGAGAGAAAGAAATGCTCTGCAAAATGTCAGTCTACTGTAGGATAAGTGAAACACATAGATTGCATTCACGGCAGTTTGCAGCCGTGACAAGCTTTTAGCAAGATCAGAAGACTGATGTTGCTACTCAAATTACACCATATAAGCATCTCTGGGAAACGGAGGCTCCCAGAAAGGCTCCTGCAATCGGCACAATTCTCCCCAAATAAAAAAATGGCAGTTGCGTTCGCCAAGCAGGGTGCCTTTCCAGCAGGTCTCTACTTGAGCATAACCCTCCAGTATGCTCAAAGAAAATATACCATGGTTATTCACATAATTATCATCTTTATTTTGCCCGAAAATGAAGCTGCTTCCTGGGGTGCGTGACAGCTATGTGTGGCAACTTTGAAAGATAAACACAGAAATTAGGTATGGTTTGTGAAAGTTCCTGTTACTACCCTTTATGGTAAGGAAAATGAAGCTAAGATTTTTCTTACTGTGCTGGGTTCCTAAGTAGCGTCAAATCATTAACAAAGAAGATGTGGACTGAAAATGCAACCGAAACTGCATAAATTTGAAGAACCCCTTGCCTGATGTCATGGCTGTTTGCCGAGATCTTGGGTGTATCCAGAATATTATTTCTTTCCCTTTCTGACTCTGCTGATCACGTATCTGTAACATGACAGCCTGCTTCAGCTACCCTAATCACTTGGGCCGGCTCTGTGAAGCACGTGATTAAAAAGTATGCAGAATGTCTAAATACGGAACACGCCCAGTCACTTTCACGGCTTGGTTGTTCCGCGAGGCATGCCATTGAAGCACATGCTCTCATAGTTGTGCATCTCGGCAACGAGCGAACCTTTGCTCTGTGCATGCTTTCCCCTTCACCCGTGCGTCCTCTGCCTTGCATTGTCTGCTTGTTGTCGGCGACTCTGGGCTTTTGCGTGCCGTGTTCTTGGTAATTTTGAGTCAACGTCTTCTTGCCCAAGCCGACTGGGCACTTTGTCTCGTACTGCTTTCTCTCTAACTTCTTGTTGCTTCCTTTGCATATTCCGGATGCAATAAATACACAGGGAAACAAAAATCAATTCTTTTATATACTCAATTTGAGAGTGCATTCAATACTTCGGTGCATTATAAAAAGGAAGTATTTTACAATATTTGCCTGGCCAGATTATTCCTTTTCAATCTTCTAAATTGAAAAGTGGGTCTCACGTCTCTCAAATACTACCCTACAAGGCAGCGATTGATCATTGTGCTCGCCTGTAACACATCTTTCTTTTATGTCTCCAGGATGCCCATCTACACAGCGTGCGTTGCCTGCTAAAGTACTAGTGGATCAAGCTCTGGTACCGCCAGTTGACCAAGTACTGGGTGAGTGCCACAAATACAGAAAATAAACTGACTTGCAGGGTAGGAGAGGGGCAGTGAAGGATTCTACAGTAAGCATCATTGGATATTGATGAATGGCAGGGAGGTTAAGCCTTTTTATTTGGTGCTGGCATTCTAAAATATGGTGCCTTGTCCCACATACTGTCATTGCAAGTTCCTTGTTTTGTCCATTGCCAGCAAACCAAGTGCCAACATGTCCTGCTGAGAGAGTGCAGACTGTGCCGACTCCTCCCGCAGCTCTCTTGCCAGTGGCTGACGTCCCGCCAGTCGGTCAACAACAAGGTGAGTGCACAAATGAAGAAAGGATGACCTGACTTCTAGGGGGGGGGGAGGAGGAGGGTAAAGGGTATATCAAAATGCATTTGTGAATACTATAGGAAGACAGTTAACCATTGCACCAAACTACTCCAAGGGGCTAACCTTGCTCCATCCCGCTACATTTTGCCAAAATATGGGTAATCTATACTATGCTTGTACCAAGAAACCAATTTCGGTTGCCTCTCAATACCGAAACTAAACCGAGTACTGTAATTGAGCATGCATGTGTTATATGGCGCAAGCAGATGCCCGACACAAAGCCCCCTGCATCAATTGTCCATCCGGTCTTGCATGGTTTTCCTGCCGTCTCGCGCTCTCGTGGTCTTGTTGGTCTCGTCTCGCCTCTTTTTTTTATAAATATTTTCACGATAGACGCAGGTGTATGCGGACGCTCTGACACTAGCGTGCGTGCTGGGTAGCAGCCATGCCACATGCTGTAAAACAAAACATTTTATTTTTTTGCGGCGGGAGTTATTTTGTGAGCTGGAGCACTCGTTTATCAAAGCAAGGGTCGTGGGAAAACTATATTTTTCTAACTGCCTTTCAGTCACCGCGGCCGTGCGACGTCGGGTGTTGCCGTCCCCACCTCGCTGCAGATATGACAGCTTCTAAAATGAAATTAAGTGCCGACACATGTTCATCAACATTCCTGTCCTTGTTTAAATATCCGTTACTACTGCTGTGTCAAAGTATTGATTACCTAGGTTTCTGTCGGTGGGCTTTCTTTCGTATAAAATGTACCGCAAAAGAAAGTGGGTGAAGAGAAGTGAGCTAAAGCAAAGAAGGCAAAGTGTGCACGCTGAACCCTCATAGCGCGCTTGTTTGTCGCGAGTTCAGTCGTTGCACAAAACGCTCCGTCTTGACCCTGGCTTGCGAAGTATTGCATCTATGCGCTCAGGTTCTTTTTTTGTGTGTGTGTGTGTGCTTAGCTTGTATTTTGTTTGCCGGCCTGGCAAGCACGTGGCACCTCATTTGCCGGCTTGGCAAGCACGGGCTGCTGGACTGTTCTTTGTCGTATGCTCGACAATTAGATTTTGCATGCAATTTTTGGAATCAGTTGGCGACGGAGTGGAGTGGCATGGTTTCGGTTTCGGATCTTGAGCTCCAGGTGTTGGCAGCTGCGCGGTTCCGTAAACTTTTTGTGGGTCACGGCACTCTTGAAGATCAGATTCCACCCTCTCCTCCACCAAATCACACCTGCTCTGTCCAGTTTGAAGTGTTCAGCAGTGTCATGATTTCCACTATCCTCCGCATAAGAAATAACCGTTTGCTTCAACTTCATCGTGTATAAAATTCTCTTCACACTGATGGTGGAGGATTTCCGCAAACCACAAATGCGCAGTGAACAGAGTATGATTGCGAGACGAACGCCGACAAACACTGCCATCCATTAAGTGATGTTGAAACCAAGCGCTAGCGACCGTTCGCGACTCCGGCGCTCGAGCTTAATGGATAACAAGATGATACCGGCATCGCCGCTCTCAAATTTCTTGCATGGGATGGGGGTGCTTACATTCGCATACAAACTTTTTTTCAGGCGTCTCGTTTGGAAAAGGTGGGGGGGGGGGGTGGGGGGGGGGGTGCTTAGAATCGCGAAAATATGGTATTTGGTAAATATGGTAAACCTTCAGTTGAGAGTGCTTCATCTATGTCAAATTCGTCCTTATTTATTTTGTGCTTTCCTACTAACAGTATAGTTCAACCCATTTTTTGTCAAAAAAGGAATGGGCATTTCCTTGGTATATTACGATACATATAAAAGTAAGCGCTTGTTAATTATATATCTTATTACTTGAATGGGTGCTCTAATGCAATTGGGGACAATACATAGTGTACTCGGTTATCAAGTGTATCCCACGGTAATGCTGTTCCGTCTTACTTAAGATAACATCTGTGTTACAGGACTTCAGCTGCCAGTGCCTGTTTTGGACAGGGAAGATCCCACACCACCGGCTTTTTCTGAGGAAGATGGCATGGTAGGCAACCACATTGTTCTATTGTTAGCATTTTGTGTTGCATCATTGTAAACTTTTTTATGCCTTTAGAAGCTTCTTGCTGTTACAAAGTACTAAGTTAATGCTATAAAATATTCTCATTCACAGTCACGTTTGAAAGTAAACTGAATGCTCATCAATTGGAGTCGCTGCAAGTGGGTTCACTAGTCACACTGGTCGAGAGTGTTAAGAGCCGTTCACACATTTGCAACCGAGTACGACCGAGAGAGACCAGACCGGTCTTTAATCCTCTTGCGACATCTTAGGACCAGCTCCGCTGTAGCGTATCCTGTTCTAAGACGTCTTACTGGGTCTTACTCGGTCGCGAGAGTGTGAACGGGCCTTTAGGAGTCTCGGGAGGACTAGTGGCATCCGAGAAGAGTGTGTTTACTACGAAATCTGGATTTCGGCTATTCGAACCTGCTGTTGTGTGTACAGTGAAGTCTAGCGGTCTGGTTTGGTGCATATGTGACGTCGGTACGCTCGACTGAATGAGCCTGTTGTGGACCGACAACTCTCCGAAGACAAGCTTCATGGGGATTCACTCCTGCCATTGGCGTACCACTGTCAACATTGAGAAGGAATTTTTTTTTTTTTTTAATTTTAGTTTGCCAATATTTTTTTAAATATTGTGATTTTCGGGAAAATTTTGGTTTATCTTGGTTCCTATGTTTTGTGAGGTCAGTTTTAGTGAAACTTCAATCTTGATCAAGATTTATTGCAAGGCTCCATTAATGCATTCACAATATATATGGAGGAAACAATGAGAAGCTGCAGTGGATAGGTTAAGCATGCCGAAAAAGCTTAAATATAAAAAAATATGCTGTACGCGGCAAAGTGCTCAGGTGGCTAAGTTGTCATTATCCAGAATCCCAGAATGACCGAACCGAGCGTGAGCAGATGATGTGCGGGCAAGGAGGGAAGCACGCACAAAACCTTTGAAAGTCGTTAGACTTTCATGACTAAGCGAATGATTTTTCATTGCAGGTACACCTCGGTGGCAAGATAAAGCTTTCGAAGCTAAAGATTGATGATTTAGTAGACAGACTCCCTCCCAAACGATATGTGAAAGATTTGTGCAGGTGTATTTATACTCACGAAGAGATGTGCGCGAGAAGTGTGACCGGTGCCCCCTGCCGGAGTCAATTGAAGGATGGGGCAAAGGGGAAGCTGCCGGTAACCCCAATGAAACTGCTGGCCCTTGCAAGTAAGTGAGAAAGCTTGTCCTTGAACAGCTCATGCAAAGGCGACTGAAGATGCTCCGCAAGATTTGAAATTTGTTTAAAATATTTTTTTGAAATAATTAAGTACAAGCATGACACTGCTAATGCAAGCAACAGATTACCATATTTTAATTTTTTTTCCTAGGAATTGGGGCTTTGCCCATCATTCTGCTAACGCAAAAAAAGAAAAAAGGATTGCCATAATTTTTTTTAATGAATTTGTGATTTGTGATTGTCATACTGGCATGGTAAAAGGAGCTAATTTGGAGAACTAACCTAAGTGGTAAAGTTTTCTGCCCATCATTCTGCTTTTAACGTAATGGAAAAAGCTGCTGATTCGGTGTTCTCGCTAACAGGGTCATGCAATGTAGTGCATGCACGGTAGTAGATGATTTACAGAAATGGAAGGATTATTTCCATGTCTTGATTATTACGGTATCTCTACTTCCTGGAGATTTCTTATAATTTTAATTTTATACCATTTTTGGTATCCTTTTGAGTTACTTTGCAATTTAAGCGAGTTCAATGAAATACAGTAGAATTGGTTGACGAGATTTTTTAGGGAAAAGTGACAGCCAATTAAGCGTTGGGAGGCTTATAAATGAGAGGAAGCAATTATGACTGCAGCTGGTTTCAGATAGAATTTCACAGCCTTGGTGAAGTTTATGGTTATTGCAATATTTGCCGAGTGTTTGTTTTTCAGAAATGTTATTTAAAGTTAGCAATTAATTTTCAGTTGCAACTTACACATGGCAGCTTTTAATAGTGAGCAAAACTTTAGAGACCATTGAGCTGACCCAGATGTTGACCCCCGTCAAGTACTGCTCCTGGCACATGAGTGCAGAGTAGTGAAGCTCCACATGCATGCTAGTATGAGGGGAACTGTACACTGTGCTTCTGCTTGGTTAAAAAGTTGGGATCACAAGAAAAGTTAAACCAGTAATAGGATGGGAAAGCAAGCAAAACTGAGCGCAGCAGTAAAAAGCTTGCATCGAGCGTCATGGCATAGTCAGTGCAAAGAGGTGAGAAAAGGGGCAGCAGAGCAGAATAAGGGGCAGCAATGATCCAACACATCAAATCGACCGCATAATATTGTACATTTTACTTTAGGGAAAGCAAACAGATTAAATAGAAATTGATACACCTATCACTACGGGAGTTTGGGATCAGTGTTAATTAACATAAAACTGAAACAATGTGTCAATCACTTCCACTATTGCACTTGTGCGATAGGGGAGGGAAGCAGGTAGTGTTTTGACATTGGCCTTTTCACCGACCTCTCTGAAATTTTATTATGTTATGACCTCACCCACAGCTCACTGTCCTTGCCCTTTTGTTTGTATAAGTTATATTTCTGTCGCTCTTGGATCATACTTCCTGAAAAGTAAAACACAAAGTTCTTAATAATTTTGGTAGTTTGAAACACTTGTATGCAGAAAAACTGTACGGTGAACGTGACATACGCACTGTCTTCAGAAACGTTTGATGAGCCAACAAGAGGAAATCTTGGAGCTTACTTTATTTGACTAAAGCACCTCAAAAAGCAGGTGAAAGGGATGGACAGGACCAAGCGCTAACTTATAACAACACAAACATGTTCAATTGTAAGGTAGCACTCCGTGCTGTCCATCCTTCTCTTGTGTCCACGCTTTTTAGGCGCTTTTCCATTCAAATCATGCACTAATTAACTAGCCCACCTAGCCATTTTATTGCTTGTTTTATTGCCCATCTAACACACATCTATTTAAAATTTCCCCAGATGGTCTCATGTACTACGAGGGAGCCAAACCCACCGAAGCTCGGCACACGGGCCCCGAACTTCAGAAGATTGTGCGGGAGGTTTTAAAGGAGTTCCTGCCCGACAACGCAAGACAAGGCACAAGAAGGAGGGAACCACCGGCACCCAAAGAATAAATGTGCATGCTTGGGTGAAACAGCACACAAGATTTACACCCAAGCCTCCATCCTCTCAATAAATGTTCCTCGAGGCATTTAGGCATAACTTGTTTACCTGTGTATTTATTTCAGCTGGTTGAATGGCTAAACTGGTTTGTTCAGCCAATTCCCTCAGCATGACAAATCATTGAACCATCTGGTCATGCTAGGTGATCTACCCAGTGTGACCAGATCACCCACCATGACCAGATCAACCAGCATGACCAGCATGCCAAGCTGGGACCAGCTTGCCAAGCTGGTCCCAGCATGACCAGATTAACCACCATGCCAAGCTGGGCATGCTGGGGCAATAACCCAGCTTGAAGCTGGGACCAGCTTAACCAGCTTAAGCTGGTTTTTTCAATAGGGTTCCCCCTCCTCCTCAAGAGCTGCACTCCAATTTTGCGTTAGAGATTCGTAAACATCTTATTTTTTTCAGTTGAATGTAAGACTGTACATGTCAGGACTCAGTACATTTAAGACTGGTGAACTCCATTCCACCATTGCCCTGGTGTTTCCATTTTAATTTCCTTTTTTTTTTGTCTCACAAGTGTGCCAGAGCTAAGACTCAAGGGGTTGTTCCTGGACACTCAAACACTAATTGATTGATTGATTGTCATTGATTGCTTGTCAGCGATTGATTGATTTATTGACATACTGACTGTGCGTGGATGCTATCTCCGCAACGGTCTTTCTGCTCGGCACGGTGTCCAGCTAGCGGTGAGGTGGCTCATTCACCGAAAGTGGAACCAGCGGGGGGAGCAGGCGGCACTGCCCAGTCGAGGCCGGGGCCGTTCGCATCCGATTGCCTCCGACCTCGGCCGCGCAATGAGTATGCAAGAGCGCAGGAGCCAGTGGACTATTTTGTTGCACCGGCGCCCACAACCATTGACTGTTCCTGTCAGGGGTAAAGCTAGCTGACCAACTACAGTTGTTTTTTTTTTTGTTTTTTTGTTGGCTTTGTTTTTATTTGTGTTTCTCACAGGGGCACAACCAGCTGGCCCACCTCATTGTCTTTGGCTATTGGTTTTTTTATACATTCATGTTTGTATCGTGATGCAGCGTGACAAACTTCGGAATGTTCTGTGTGCTCCAAGGCCCTTTTGAGGAACGGCAGGATGATAAGGTGCGCCTTCTGCTTAGCCTCCTGCCACATCGGGAAGATGTGCTCGAGGATCACAGAAGGCTGAGGATGGGTGAGGCAAAGAGCCATTAATATCATTCTGCAGGGAAAACGACACCAGGAACACCGAATGTGACGCATGGCCGTCACAGCTCTCTTCCATTTTGAAAGAGCTCCTGATGATGAGGGCTAGCATATAGACTCGCTCCAGCAGCTTCCTTGAAAGTGGACATCCTTTTGGCATTAAGGCGCGTCGTCAAGCAGATGAAAGACAATCAGTGGAGTCCAGGCCTCAATTGAATTGTTTTCTGCCCAGTACAACACACTTTTGGCAGCGGTCACGGCTAATGACCAGGTCATTAACGAGGTCAGGGCTGAGGTGATGGAGCTGAGAGGCCATATGCATGAGCAGGCCAAAGAGATCTAGGCTCTCAAAGAAGAGCTTAACACCAACGAGCAGTATGGCCGCCTCCCTAATCTGGAGATTCAATGCCTGCCTCAGTGACCTCAAGAACACTTTGGGGAAATCATTGCAGACATTGCGCGAAGAGCGGGCGTCTCAAATTTCCGGCCGTTCAGGTGCTTGCCATACACCGCCTCCCGAGTGGAAAAAGCGGACCCCACCAGTTTTGGTGAGGTTCCAACCGGTTGGCGGCAAGAAAAAGTGGATGACGGCTTGCGGTAGGTTGCACGCACTAAGCAAGGGGTCATCGCTGCAGCGTCTGTATTTCAATGGCAACCTCACTAGGCTCTTCCGAGAGCTCTTCTGGATGGCCCATTCCCACGCCAGAGAAATGCACTTGAAGTTTGTGTAGGTAAGGGACGTCAATGTCTTTGCAAAGATGGACAAGAAAGGCCGTCCCATCTGAATTTACTGACACGCTGACCTGGAAGAAATAGTGTAACTTGATGACTTCGTCTCAGGTTTTTTTTTTTAGGCTGACTATCGGATTTTTTGAGCCTTATGAATAACTTGGCACTGGACGGCGGCATCATATATACTGTGAGCCGCCTCGGTGGCTCCGAGGCGAGAGCGCCGGCCTACGGATCCCCAGGCGGCGGGTTCGAATCCCGACCGAGGTGCCCGCAATATGACGGAGGCTTATTGCGGAGAAGGCGCCGTGTAACCGAGCTTTCGGTTGCACGTCAAAAGATCCCCAGGTGGTCGAAATTAATCCTCAGTCCTCCGCTGGGGCGTGCCAGATGCCCGTCGTAGGTTTGGCACGTAAAACCCCCAAATTTGATATATACTGTGGTACACGTAAATATTCGGATCATTAGAAAATATTGGGACCAGTTCTGTTTTTTTGATAAGAGGTGTCATCGCCAACGTTATTGTGTTTGTACTATCGGAGACCAACGCTCATGAGTGAGCAACTAAATGTTATCATCTGGATGGTTTTAGTAAGTTTTGTTTCACACGACAAAGCAGAAGAGGGGAAGGTACAGCCGTATTCATAAAAAATGGGCGGCATGCAGAATGTCAGGATCACACACACACCCGAGACAATATACCCAAGGAGCAAGAGGCAATATCTATGAATCGAGACGAGAGCCACAGGCACATAAAAACATCGAGGAAGTTTTCCCTTTCCTCCGGCATCAGTCAGCGAAATGGTTCACCGTCTCCGATTTCCAGTGACGACTTTCCAATCACGTTTCAAGAGAGTCAGAACGATCCTGCAACGCCGGAGGCAGGCCCTCCAAACTCGCCTGCCACGCCGCTTAGTTGCACACGGGACCAAGACACGGGGGGCATTCCACCTCTTCTCAGAAGATCAACACAGATGCGCCAGCCACCTACGCGGCTGGGCATTTGAAAACTTGTTTTTTTTTTAAAGGGATATTTTGCCGTTAGAGGCACTCGACTTCCACCAGATGGTGGAAGTCGAGTGCCTCTAACTTCCACCATCTGGAAATCGATTCGAAAGTTGCAGATCTATGTGGAGGGACAGTGGTTAAATGTAAAAGAAATGTGGGCTTCCTGCTTTAAGAGTGAGCTAACTGTTAGAACTAATACAGAAGCCCAAAACAAGATGCTCAAAGAGCACTACTTAAAATGCCACAGTGGACGAAAGAGCCTGATAAGTCTGCTGCAGATGATGAAGACATTTCTGAGTGACAGGGAGAAACATTTCTCAAAAGACAACTTGCACTTCTCCTCAGGCCACAGAGTTTATCACTAGTCTGTACCAACATTCCTGCACAACAGGCCACGTGCCGTGGTCAAGCACATAATGGCAAGTCTACATGCTGCCGGGGACATTGATGCGGACCACATAATCACAGATGAGCCTAGTGGCATATTTCATGTTCAAAGTGCTGCATCGGCAAATGCTTCTTACCTTGCACAGTTCACCACAACAAGCTGCAGTTGCCCTGATTTTCAGAAGACGAGACTGCCCTGCAAACACTATGGTGCCATAATTTTGAATATCCAAGGTTGGTGCTTCGACAGGCTGCCTGCCTCTTATAGGAATGGCCCATTAATGAGCCTTGACAGCTTAACTGTCTCGGATCTTGCAGTAGCCACCCCATCGGAAAGGTGTGGACATCTTGCGGCTAATGTGAGTAAAGATTGCAGAGCCACAGACACCACACTCCCAGACTTGAAACATCGGGAAAAGTTGGGAATAAGAGTGCTGAAAGCAAAAGTCCCAGCTGAATTTGAAAGGGGAAAAAGCTTTTCCTACTACTGCACCAGCCAAGATAACCTGAGTGCTAGAACTGCTTAGAGAGTGCAGCTCCATGCTTCAGGAAGGGACACCATCTGTTGGCGGTCTGGGTCTGTGCGGCTCACCCACAAAGGGGCACTCCGGTCAGTGCAAAAGACAATCGGGCAACTGCAGCCTATCCAATGTTTCTGGGCTGAAACGACACTGCCCTCTTCATCAAGAGCATTGGCGTGCACGGGGACGTGTTTTGGAAAAGGCAGCCATACTACGGAAAACATACAATGTTGCACCAACATGAATAAAAATTCAAGATGGGGGAAAGGATTCCAAGATCTAAATTTTTTAAATAGAATTCGATTTTAACATGTTCCAAATTGTAATATAGTACATTCTGTGGGACGTGGTTGTCCGTGAATGTTCCCTTAGAACCACCTTCAACCCTCGCTTTGTTTGTGTCCGTTTGGTTTGAATGAATGATTGACATGTTTCCAATTTTTATGACACTATTATGTACTCCTTGTATTGTACACTTTCTAGTACTCTCATCACACTGCAGAAGTGTACAGTATCCTGTACGATTTTTTGGTCCAAACACAACATTCATGCTTTGTTTCACTTTACTCATACGGATTAGCACTAGAAAACAGATTTTACCATTTAAGTGGAGGCCCAACTGGCCCACACTAGCTCATTCCATTACGTAGTATCTTGGGTGAGAACTATTCAGGTGTGAAAAAAAACACAAAAATTTGGCAACTGCAGATTTGTGTAAGCTGTGTCAAATTCTCTACCTATGAAGACACCACCTGAAGTGCACCAGACGTGTTGATTATTCAGTTTCCTCACCTACCTATTTTTTTCCATAAATCATCAGAACTTTCTGTGGTGCCTCAGTGAAAGATATGGGGTACAAAAAATTGTCATAGCGATGCAATGACAATTTTTTTTTAATTTCGAGGTTTATTTTATACTAGGAAGTTTAACCAAATGAGAAACATAATGAACAACCATGCACTTGCATACAAGTACCAAACACAGTACTGTACAAACTTGATACACCTCCATATTTTGTGTAAATAAAAAATTGTTTCACGTGGAACACTGTTCACTGCAAAAAAACCTGTCAATAAGTGCAGTTCAAGCGTGCCTAACGACACCTTCCCTAGTTAAACTGGACTTTCCCTTTAGCGCAGCTCGTCCTCTCTTAAAACAACATAGTCATGCCCTACAATGACCGATAGCCCATAAGTGCAATAACGACAGATATCT